TATGTGACTTTTTGTTTTTCTCGAACTGCTCTCAGAATTCTTTGTTTGTCTTTGGTTTTAGCGAGTGTGATTGTGATATGCCTTGGTGATTTTCTTTTGGGGTCTATCCTATATGGGGTTCATTGAGCTTCTTGGATGGTCAGCTTTTCATCTTTCATGATATTGGGAAAGTTTTCTGTCAGCAATTCTTCAATGATCCTCTCTATGTTTTCTGTTTTCTCCCCCTCTTCTGGAACTCCGATCACTCACAGATTTTTCCTTTTGATTGTATCCCACATAATTCTCAGGGTTTCTTCATTTGTCTTCGTTCTTTTTTTCTGATTTTTCTTCAAACAGAGTTATAGCCAAGTGTTTGTCTTCAATTTCACTGATCCCATCTTCCATCATTTCAAACCTGCTCCTCAGTCCTATGACACTGTCCATTTCTGAAATCTTGTTGTTTATCTTTTGGATTCCTAATTGTTGTTTTTGTATGATTTCTAGTTGTGAATTTATTTTAGCATTTTGTTCCTGTATTATTTTCTTGAATTCTTCCATTTTTTTGTCTGTACTTTCCATGAATTTGTCTGCCTTTTCCATGAATTTGTCTATTTTTTCCTCATTTTTGCCTGCTTTATGCTTCAACACTTGGGTAATTCTGCATATTAGAGATTTGAATTCTCTATCAGTTAGGTCTAGTGCCTTTTCTTCTACTGGAAGCTCATCTGGTGTTTTATTTTGGATGCCTACTGGAACCATCCTGTCCTGTTTTTGTAAATGTTTTGATATTGTCTGCTGTCTTCAGGGCATTCCGTGGTTATTTCCCTCGTTTATTGATTGTAGATTTGTTGGTTTTGTCCTGCTTTTTTGTTTTATTTGGTTATGTTTGAGCAGGCAGGCTGTGCCTTCTTTGTTGTTTGCTCGTCTGTGGGCGCGATAATTTTCACCTCCTTCTTCAATGGGCAGGGTCAGTCATTCAGGTATGGTACAGCAGGACAGGTCCAGCTGAAGGGGAGTTGCTGGGATGGGTTGTCTGTGGCATGCACCAGGGCTGACAGTGTGGACTGGGAATCAGTGCAGGGCAGGTTCCAGCAGGCTGTGCCTGTGCTGCTTGGGAGTGTGATGTTCAGCGCACAGTGCAGGTAGACAGGAAGGAGGGGATAGATAGTGATGTGTGGAGCTAAAATGGGTATGGGAAAGATGAGAGAGAATAGAGAGGAACAGAAGCCAAAAACATACAAACAAAACAGAGCGCTAAGGGAGCTTACTATTGGAGTGGAGAGATGAGAGACTGAGAAATGGGGAAAAACAAAAATTAAAAAAAAAGAAGGTAAAATAAAAAATGAATAAATTGAGAGACTGGAAATGAAGAAAGACAAAAAGGGAATAAGAGAGAGAAGAAAAGAAAACAAGAAACAAACAAACAAACAAAAAAACACCTAAAAACAGAAAACAAGAAAAAAGAAATGCCCCCAGGGATATCCCTATGCGTCTTCACAGAGTAAGGGAGTAGCTTCCAAGTTGCGCAGTATTGCCTGGCTAGAAGGGGCTCCCAAGCTGAGAAAAGAAAAAGAAAACAAACAAACAAATCAAAACAGAACAAATCAGAGCAAACAAATAAAAAAGCCCCGGGGGTCCCACCAGTGTGGCAGCATGGACCAGGAAGTAGTTTCACAGTTGAGCGGTGTTTCGCAGCCTTTCAGGAAGAAGCAAAGATGGCGCATGGAGCCAGGTATTTGAGAGAAAGG